ATGCAAACAAAATTTGGGGTGAAGAAGACTTAACTACTTGCCCCTTATTTCATAACGAGACCACAGAGAGCTTCCTACTGACAGAGTTGCCCTCAGACAAGGACCTGCAGCATCAGCATCTTCCTGGAGCTTATGAGAAATGCAGAGTCACTGGGCCCAACAGTCTTTGCTGAATCAGTATCTGTACTTGAATTAGAATCCTGAGTGATTTATACTCACATTGAAGTTAGATAAGTGCTGGTCTAGACTAGGTTTTTCTCACCTTCTCAATTTGGCGCAATTCTTTGTGTTGGGGATTGTAGATGTTTAGCAGCCTTCCTAGTCATTGCCAAATAGCTCAGGGGCAACATTATCTCTGGCTGGGAACCACTGGCCCTGAGTTTGAAAACTGAAGCGTCCTGACAGATTCCAATCAACAGTTATTCCTTATTCTGATTATAACTTCAAGAATACCACTGTATTCTTCAATATGGAGTGGAGTTCAGAATAGTACCACCTCAAAGAATAGATTTTTATAAAATTAAAATTTGACAAAGCCTATATGGTACAAATCTCAAATTATATGCCATAAATATATGAATATATATTTATTCATATATATTCTTATAATTAACAAAGCTTTGATAATATGGAATGAAATGGCAGATATTAATTTCTGTTATAAGTCTGAAATTCCTGATTGATTTGGCATGGGGGGGAGGAATAAACTTTCCTCTACCTTCAGTGTACTTCAGGCTGGTTTAATAATCAAGTAGATGTAAGAGATTAGCAAGATAAAAATAATAGAATTTAACACATAACATATGTGTGAGAACCTCGCATGTATGAAAGAGTCTGAGACTGCATGTGCAGGAGAGGTTTGGAGATAGAAAAGGAATATGGGTATACAAGACATCTTGATCTAGGGATGAGGTAATGCATTGGGGGGCCTTCAAAGGGTCATTACAAAATGATAAAATTAGATTTTTAGTAAAGAAAAGTTTGCCCTGCCATACAGGTAAGTCGAAAAGAAACTACCTCTGATAATCTTTTATTATGGGCAAGGCACCTAAATCAAGTTCTTCTAGGTAGTTAAAAGGAGGGGCAGAAGTCTCTCTTGAACCTGAAGCCAAAACTGCTCTTAGCTCGAAATAATCCCCATACCACTGAGGCACATCTTGGGGTGAATTGTTTTAAAATCTCCCAGCTAATGTCTCTTGAAACCAAGGAGTATAGCACCCAAAGCTTTACATCAAAGTTACACAGTTCTCTTCATTGTTGAAGAAGGAATTAGGAATTTCCTGAAGCTATCATGATTTGTATCCCGCCACAGTCAATGCTTTGAAGGTCAAAGGATGTGCAAGTCATAGTCCTCAGTCTACACTTTAGAGGGAACTTTAACTCAGGGTTGGCATAGGTGCTGGGAGGTGAGACCTCTGGAAGGTAGGAGAGTTAATGAGAAGAAGTAACGAAAACAGGATTCACTTGACTTCTAACTTGGTC